CACCGGCCGCACCGACCCCCAGCGCCCCTCCTGCGGCCAAGGAGAAAGCTCCTCCACCTCCGCTTGCAGAAACTGGGGCCACCGACGGCAATGCGGGCACTGCAAGAGAGGCAACGCCCGCTTCTACTACGCCAACGCCCGCTTCGGCTACGGCTACGGCTACTCCGTCGGGCAACAGGGCCCCACTTCTGGCGAGCGAGGCCCCGGCGAGCCGCTTGGGGCACACCATCTACGACGGTGAGGGGAACCCCACACTTCAATTAGTCCAGCTTTGGGCATGCCGTAAGCAGTGCTCCCAATGCTCGCTTGGTCACTGCCAGGCTACCTTCAGCGACCGCTCCAACAGCTACCACACCACCCACTTATGCAGAGACTGTAAGCGGGCTCGTGGTAGAGAGCGTCAAGAAGCCACTTCTCAATGGAGCTAGGGCTATGAAGAGTGGGGCCAGAACCAGTCCGGCTGGGACGATCAACCCGCTTGGGGATCCTGGAATTGGAGTGGCCGCAACTGGCAGCACCAATGATGCTTTTGCCCCCGCTCCATGCTTATGCCGGCTTTGGCATTGAATCGCCCACTTTTGGGCTTGCCCATATAGATCAAGGGCAGCCCCGCTTGGGCTTGTGGGTATAAAGCGCCCGGCTTCTCCGAAGCCAGACATACTCGAGCTCCGCTTCCCGCTTGAAAAATCCAGCAGAGCCACACTGCGCACTCTTTGGAACAGTTCACGCTTTGAACTTGTGGCTTGTTTTTCACTCTTGTTTCCCGCTTGGATCAAGAAAGACTTCCGGGCCTCCCCCGGCTCTGGGTATCCCGCGCTCCCACGTTACAGGCCACAGATGCCCACTTGTCATCATTAGCAACTTGCTTCCCTGCTGCAGGACCACTTCGGGCAACGCTGCATCCTTAGTTTCAGTTCTTCGCCTCCTTTCGGTAGTATGTGCACCTGCTTCAGGTCAAGCGAAGATGTCTGACTTCACGCAACTAGTGGCCGACTGCAATGTGCCAGCAGCTGTCGCCCCCTTGCTTTCAGCATTCGACGTTGCTTTGTTTGCCCGGTCCTGCACCACTTCGGCAGAGCTTGAAGAGTTGGTGAACCACTTTCTGGCTGAAGCCTCAGTTACTGATGCAGCTGAACGCTTTATCACCAAAGCTTCGCTCCGCTTGCTCTTTTGCAAATGCCGAACGTCAGAGGGCATGGCATCCTTGGAAGCCGCTCCCACTCCCACCACACCGCTTGGTGATGGGCCTCCAGCTGCTACCCCGGCTCCCCCAGCCACGCCTCCACTTTCCAGCTCCTGGCAAGAGGCTTGGCCTGCGAAGCTGAGTGGGGAGCGAACCGCGGCGCTTAGGAAGAGGTTCGAGGAGGACTACCCCACTGAACTTCTTGACGCTGAGAGCTTTCCAAGCGCCCGCTTATTGGCCCTCACCAATAAGATGCTTTCCGACAAGGAGGTGCGATGGATTCCTTGGAAGTACCGCTTAAGCGCTCGTGCTCAAGAAGACAGTCTCCTCGCTCGGCCCAGGAAACAGGCCCGCTTTGACCTAACAGAGCTTTTTCTGGACGAGGCGCCTACACGTGACATACATGAAGGCCCCGCTTCCTTTGGCCTCGTCACTCAGCTTCTGTCACTGGCTGCCAATGCCATTGCGCTCTGTCAAGGTGCACATCTTGGTTCTCTGAAGCTTTATAATAAACGCTTCATGAGGATCTGCTTCACGAAGTACGATGCCGCCGCCAGCTTACGAGGTCCCACTACCATGGAAGCCCAGGCCGCCGACCGCCGCTGTTGGGAAATCATCGCCGACTTAGTCAATGTGCACCACTGGAAGTTGGACGATGCGCTTCACGAAGTGGCCGAGGTGCGCTCTGACATGCACAGCCTGCTTGCACCGAGGCCCTTTATTCCCAAACCGAAGTTCGACCCGGACAACAGCTGGAAGGCCCGCTTCACAGGCAACGGTCGAGGCGGCAAAGGCGGTGGCCGCGGCGGCAAAGGCCGTGACGGCAAAGGCGAGAAGGGAGAGCGCTTTGAGAGAGGGGGCAAAGGTGGCAAGGGCAAGGACAACAAGCAAGCCACGCCGCCCGGCAAGTGGCTTTCCACCCTGTTCATGGATGGCAAACGTCAGACGCTTTGCATGAGGTACCAGAGCGGGCAGTGCAAGGACCCGGCCACATGCCGCTACTTGCACAGATGCGCAGTGCCTAAGAGTGACGGCACCGCTTGCGGAGGCAATCACCCAGCTTCGCAACATGTTGCCACCCCGCATTAGGAAACCCGCTTCAGCGAGCTGCGGGACATCGCTGAGGAGGTCACGACCGTCCCGCTTAGTGTGCCGGCACAACCGTCAGGCTCAGCAGGGGCCACTTCGGCACTGCCAAAGGCACGTGCCCTAGTCTCCGATGCAGCATCGGCACTCAGTGAAGGCTCTCTCGACTTCGCTACTTGCTTGGAGCTTCTAGCTTCGCTTCTTCTTCTCACTGCCCCGACAATGCCATTGCAGCCTCTGAAGCATATTTCAATTTGGGGGCTTTCGCTTTTGACAATGGCTCCAGGTCGGGCATCTTTCAGCGTACTGAGCAATTTTCAGACGTTCTTCGATTCTTGAACGCTTTTATGCAGCTTCAGTTCCCTGAAGCCTCCTGGAGCTCCCTCTGCGTCAGCCACAACGTTCGCACCCGCTTACACACAGATTCTGGCAACGCTGCAGGGTCTCTGAATCACACAGTTTCACTTGGCAACTTCAGCGGTGGCGAGGTTTGGCTTTGCCCCGCTTTGAACCAGGCGGCTTGTCAGGTACCCGCCCCCTTGGATGCCTCATCCGAGGCTCACAGTGCATCTGAAGTGGGTACAGGCGAGGTGCGCGACACTTGGCACGCGCCGCTCTCCTTTAGCTGTGAAGCACTTCACTGTACGCTTCCGATACAAGGAGACCGGTGGGTATTGACTGCCTACACTTGCAAGAGCCTAGACCGCTTTGATGCAACGTCACTGGCACACCTGAGGTCTCTGGGCTTCCCACTCCCGCCGGCAACCCCATGCCACCCGCAGTCAATACATCCCCCGCTCAAGGACACAACATGCGTGGAGCTCTTCCTGGATATATGCTGCGGGGCCGCTCACCCACTTACCACGGCGATGTCTTCATACGGAATCACTTGTCTGCCCATAGATCTACTGGGCGAGGAGCAACTCGACCTGCTCAACGACGACACCTACGACCACTTGCTTCGGCTGTGCTTTGCTGGGATTGTCCGCTTAGCTCACGGATCGCCACCCTGCAAGGAGTACTCCCGCTTGAAGCTTCGTCCAGGTGGGCCTCCAGCCATTCGATCGCCGGATCACATGAATGGTCTGCCAGGGAACACCGCTTCGCAGCAAGCTAGAGTACAAAGCAGCCAGAAGCTTCTATATCGTTGCGTATGCCTTCTGAGAGCAGCTTTTTGTTCAGGCGCGCATGTATCCCTGGAACAACCCACTAACGCCATGTCCTGGCTTGAGCCTTTTGTTCAGGACATGCTTTCCGAAATACAGGCCTCACTGGTCAATATCCCGGCATGTTCAGTGGGACAGGATATAGCAAAATCGTGGCTTTTTGCTTGCAGTTACAGCGAATTCCGCTTTCTGGCAAGCACATGTTCGCATGCAGGAGGCCACCAGTCCGTCGCAGGAACCAGGGACGAACACGGGACCTTTTTGTCCCAGCGGACGGCGGAGTACCCGTCCCAGGTTGCCGAGAAATTCTCAGCGAAGGCAGTGCACTTATTTTCTTCGGCAAGACCTGCTTATTCGGTTTCGCCCTGCTCCTTGAAGTTCGCACTGGCCTCAGTTCCCAAAAAGCCGCGTTCATCAACGCCTACAGCAGCGCAGGATGGCGGGGGCATCTACTCTTTGCCCGACTGGTCCCTTGGCCCAAGGTACCAATCCGACAGCTTACACGACCTGCGGAAGGAATGGCAATCTTGGCTGCTTCAGAACAGAATTCCTCTCAGACTCCAGCAACACGTTGCCGAAGCCAGCAATAAACCGCTTTTCTCAAAGGAAGAAACGGAGTGGCTTCGCTCTTCTTTCAAGCGCTTTTCGGACGCTCACTCCCCGTGCCAGGACTGGAACTTCTCAGTGACAGAAGGCCAGCCATACTGCTTGTCTGCACTGGAGCGCTTGAGTACTATGCTGGGTGACAAGGACACTTCCCTTTTCCCCGCTTTGCAGAAGGGCGTGCCTACGGGATTCGACGGCGACATCCCTCGCAGCCACACACTCCGACCTCGTGATCCCAACAACTCAGACGAACCCACTGACCTGCTTGTTTGCGAAGGTAACTGGCAGGGGGCTGAGGCAGACCCGGCACTGCTTCAGGAGTTGATCGAGGAGGAGGTCTCGGCCGGCTACATAGAGGAAGTTCCCAGCTTAGAGGCGGCTTACGAAAGGTGGGGCAAGGAACGTGTTGCGGTGGGCCGTGTTAACATTGTCAAAGCCCCCGGACGCTCTGCCCGCTTGGTTATAGACAACAGCATCTGCAACACGAACCAGAACTGCCACGTGCCTGAACAGTTCTCCTTGCCCAGCCTCCAGGACATTCAGTCCGCTTACCCTCCGAGGGAGGACGAGGAGCCGGTTTCGGGTTTCAGCTTAGATGTGAAGGGAGCGCACAAAACTTCACTTGTGCGCGAGAAGCCGTTTTTGGGACGCTAAAAATCACAAACTAGTCCCATAAGGCTTTATAACCTTTTTGGTAGGTTTCGAAAGTTTTGAAGAAGTTTTTCGAAACCGCTTCATGTGTCATGAGATTCCATTTGAACTTTTATGAATGGTTGTTGTTCCGCGCATGCTCAAACATAGGGTGGGTGGGCGGGAACCTTCCGTGCAGCAAAGTTTGTACGGGGGGTAAGAGAGATTTGTGTAGAACACGGGCTCCGGGCCAAGCTGTGTGAAACAGGTTTCGGGCCCGAGAACCCCTGGTGTACCGCCTTAGTGGCGCATGGGCAGCTTCTCGTGCGATGGCAGAGAAGAGGACGTTTGATGCTGCATTCGATGGGCATCTTGCCCATGTCGTGCATCAGAATTCTACGAGCAGCTCAAAGCAACCATGGGAGAGAAGCATTGTTAATGTGCCGAGTGTTTTGCCGAGTGCATTTCTGGGAAAGGGGCGTCTTGGGAATGTGCTTACTCATACAGCTGCTGCTCCTGTGAAAGCTCCGAGTGGCCCGCCGGCTATAAATCTGACTGCCACTGGCGGCAAGCTGCCACGGAAGGTTGGGCCTTCTTGGGTTCAGAGACAGTCGGATAACAGGCATGCGGCTGTCATGAAGTGGCTTCGGATTGCGAAAGAGGGCGGCGACTTCTTCGGGGTCTGTGCCAGAGTGGCGAAGGATGCTGAAGCTGGATTGCCGGCCTCCCTGCAGGAGTCTCTAGGAGATGTTTTCTCGCTTAAGGCGAGCAGTACGCTTCACAGCAGGGCGGGCCCGGTCCTAAGATACATGGCATTCTGCTGGCGCATCAGAGAACAGCCTTTTCCTTTGTCTGAGCAGAAGATGTATCGCTTCGTCAAAGAGTATTGCAGTGGAGCTGCTCCTACCTTTGCATCCAGCTTTATGAGTTCCGTTGGCTTCATGCAATATGTCTTGGAGGCGAAGGTCCCGGACGGTTGTGTTAGTAGCAGGTTGGCTGGCGCGGTTTCGAAGCTCTACTTGGAGAAGAGAAAGCTGCAACAGAAGCCGCCATTGACGGCTTCACAGGTGCGGGCTCTGGAGCGAATCGTGCTTGGACTTATGCCTGAAGTCCGCACAGATGTCGATCGCTACGCGGCCGGGTGCTTTTTATATTGTGTGTTTGCGAGAGCCCGTTTTTCGGACATGCAGTGTTCTGGCGAGCTGGCGAAGGACGTCGTGCAAGGAGAAGACGGACCGCGCGGTTACCTTGAAGCGAGAGTCACCAGGAGCAAGACGAGTCATAATCTGGAGCGCAAAACCCGATATCTTGCTATGGTCAGCCCTATATGGGGTCTCGAGCAGGATTCTTGGGCGATGGCCTGGATGGAGGTAGCCGGCAGGGCTGGGCCTGCATGGGGGCCTGACATGCCCCTGCTACCGTCCCCCACCGAGGGGGGCCAATGGCAGAAGGCGCCTATGTCTGCGCAAGCCGGAGCGCGGTGGCTTCGCCACCTTCTCTATCGTGCAGGCGAGGATGTTTCGTTGGTCAAGGCCGCTGGTACTCACTCCTGCAAAGCTACGCTCTTATCTTGGATGTCTAAGTGGGGAGCTAGTAAGGAAATCCGGTCGAATCTCGGATATCACTCCAGTGCAAACGCGCCGGCACGGATGTTATCTACGCGAGGGACAGCGTCTCCCCTGCGTTGCGTGAGTTGGAGGAAATGGTTTCTGCGGTCGCTTACAGGCGGTTCTTCCCGGACGCCACGCGCTCGGGCATGTTTGCGGAATCTTTGGCTGCCAGGGGAGAAGCTCATGACAAGGCCGAGGTCGGCTCAGATTCTTCTTTCGACAGGAGCGATGATGAGGAGGAGCCAGATACTCTCGAGGAGGAGAAGGTCGTTGAGGACAGTGTCGGCGAATTTGAGCCGAGCGGCTGCCTTCGAGAAAATCTGGAGGGCAAGACGGTCTTTCGGCATGTTACCACCCGCTTCATACACTTGGTCGCTTCTGAGGAGGGCACAAATTTTAAGTGTGGCAGACAGATTACATCGTCTTACTTGGAGTGCAACGCGACTCCCAGGTTTTTGCATCCAATCTGCAGGCAGTGCTTTCCAGAGGCGAGGTGAGGGATCGATAGGCTGGCTGGCTGGAGTGCCGCCATGCGAGTTTTGTGAGCCTCTCATCGCGAGAGCCCGCGAAGGCGGGATGAATATGCGCACGGAATACAAGGAGCGCTGCACTTGGCATTGCGTGGTCTCAACAGTTCGGAGTCGCAAATGCCGCCTTGTGATTTCAAGTGAGAGTCGCTCGAGCTACTTGAAGGTAGGCCAGTTCCGAAGGAGCGAGCCATGGCTTCCGCATACTCGGAGTCCGAGCCAGTTCTGGTGTCCCGTCTCTCGAAGGCGGGTTTCGAGCAGGCTGAGCGCGATCTCATCCTGAAGCACGTTAAGAGCTTGAAGCAGTTGGCCTTCGTGAGCTCCTTTGCTCCGGGGGCTGCGGACGAAGGTCCGTTGATCGAGGCCCTTAAGACGATGCTTGGAAAGGACCCAGAGATGAATCAGAAGGCAGCTTTCAGAGCAGTTTTCCATGAGGCATATGCCATTGTCACTTCGGAGATGCGACAGCAGGTTGAAAGGGTCGAGGAGCCGACAGTTCGTCATTTGAGTCAGCCCGAGAGGGCTGAGAGAATTGAGCGACAGCGTTCACAGTTGACTGGCATCACGATAAAGGGTTCCTCGGAGCCATCAGAGGCCCTGGTCGACCTTTGCGTCGGTCAGTATGAGGCCAATGTGATCCAGTATGTCCCTTGGTCTAAGTGCACGTCGCGGGAACAGGAGCTCCTGGGCGACGGTAAGAAGGACCTGAAGCTTTCGATAGACGGCGAGAGTGGTAAGCTCAAGGTAGAGAACAAGGCCAAGGATCAGGTGGCTGACACGTCCACTGAAGTGATGCTTCTGCAGGCTCTGCAGAGGCGTGCTCTTGCATTCGATCAGGCTAACATTGTTTCTTTCACGAAGCTTGACATGTGGCATCAAAAGTTGATGAAGGCGAGGCTGACTACGCCCCCGCCGGGTTACCAGCAGGTTACCTTCGCTCAGTTGCAAAATGCAGACTCGAGGCTCTTTTTGGAGCTTCAGGACCATACGCGCACAGGCATTCAGTCGGATGCCAAAGGCCGTCCGATCGATGGGATCATAGATTCTGTCAGCTGCATGCATGAGGTGGTTTCGCTGATGCAGCCGCTCCAGGGCGGCCCCTCGTCTTCGTACGGTCCCAGTGAGCCTGCTCGTCTGCGAGAGTCGCCGTACAAAGGTAAGGGCAAGGGCAAAGATGGCAAAGGGAAGAAGCGCTTCGTTGCCATGCCAAGCGAGCTTCGTGGGTGCAATTCGCACACCGCGAAAGGGCACCCGATCTGCTATGCCTTTAACCTGGGGTCATGCCCGAACAAGGTGACCGGCAATAAATGTGAGAAGGGATTGCACATCTGTGCAGTCCCCAAGTGCGGCATGAACCACGCCGCTGTCAAGTGTCCCAAGAAGCCGAAAGATGGCGAGCAGGCGGGCGCTTGACTATCAAGTTCAACCCCGGCCCCGGGTGCAAAAGGGTCGGCGGCAGGGTCTGGGGGTGGCGAAGGCCATTCTCGAGCAATCCAGCAAGTGCTTACGGCCCATCCCGAAGGGGATGAGCCTCTTTTGAGTGCGCCCGAAGGGGCCCAAGCAGTGCCGTTTGAAGGGCAAGGATCGAAACTCGATCCGAAAGTGCATGCGGACTCTTATGCTGAGGAGCTTCTGTCTTTGGGCAGGGATCCCACGGCCCAGGAGTTAATTCGTTTGTTTGACATGCTGCCTCAGGAGCCGCTTTTGAGCAATACTCGTAACGATGGAGCCGTGGCCTTCTCGACTGGTGCCTATGTGAAGGGGCCGCTGCTCGGTCTCAGGAGCAACTGCAACAAGCATCCGGCGGCTTCGAGGGTTTTCGCTCAGGCAGTGCAACGCGCTGCCCCAGGGATGCAATTTTCTACTCTGAGTGTGTTTTCAGACCTTAAGACGGAGCCTCATGTCGACCGCTTCAACTCTCCTTTCCCGAACATTCTTGTGCCACTCAGCAATTTTCGGAAAGGCGAGGTCTGGGTCGAGTCGGCTCAGGGCGATTTTCCTCTTGAGGTCGATGGTGTTACGAAGCGTGGCATCTTGATCGATGTTGCCTCCGGACCGAAGGCCTTCTATGCTTGCAGCCATGTGCACGCTACACGGCCGTGGAGCGGTCGACGCGTGGTCATAGTTGGGTTTTGCGTTGCTAGGGTCCAGGAGCTTGATGTTGAATGTAGGGCGCGGTTAGCTGAGCTGAGCTTCCCTGTTCCCAAAACGGCGCCCAACTTTAGTCCGGATTTGATCGAAGTCGGGGGAACCTTTCATGACCTCAGAAGTTCTCAGGTGGATGAGGCATGTGATGCCCTCCCGGCTCAACTGCAAGTCGCTTCTTTGATGTGCCTTGACCTCTTTTGCAATGCAGGTGAGTTTGGAGCCTCCTTGAGGGCCGCCGGATTCGATGTGCTCGCGGTCGAACAACCGCACCTAAAGCAGAGAGCTCTGATCAGCGTTGTGTCGTTGGATCTCAGGAAGGCTGCCTCATGGGATTTTCTAGTTAAGGTTGTACTCGCTAGGAGGGTCGTCTTTGTGCTTGCTGCCCCCACTGTGGCCGCTTCTGCGGGCGAACTTCCAGCAGGTTTTGCCCAGGTGTCGTCCGAACTCAGCTCTTTCTTGGCTTTCCTCGCCACTCTTGATATCGGATGGTGCGTCTTGAATCCGCTGAACAGCCGACTGTGGTCGACTTTGGCTCTGCCTGCCTCGCAAGCTGTGAAGTTCGACCTATGTGCCCATGGTGGCGAGCAGCACCGCCAGATGCTGTTGCATACTAACGTCCAGACTTTAAGCGCTCTCGCTGTGTCGGCCGACGACAATCAGGAACCTTCTAGAGCCTTCCAGTCAGTGACTTCACTGCGGGCCCGGCCGCGTTTGTTGTGCAGTCGGCTCGCCGCCCAGGTAGTTGTTTTCGCGGGTTCACTAGGGTTTGCTGTGTCCCCTGATGCAGTCAAGCCATCTGCCAATCATCGGTCCTCCATTGCAGTGCAGCGACAGCCCAAGGTCTCCAAGGTGCCGCCGCTCATGCCCGAATACAAGCATCGGGTTACTTTGCAGATTCCGTCCATGGACGCTCTACGTTATGATGCGAAAAACTCCTTGACGGTCGCTTTTCAGTCGGTGCCTGTCGGTGCCCGCATCCTTCAGGTGGTGCCTGTGCAAGGGGGCGAGGGTCCTTCAGATTCGGGCTTTAGGGTTACGTTTGGGGTTTACAGGACCGAGGATGAGTTCGTCAGGACAGCAATTACTCTATCTTATCCTTTCGACCTGTCTTCTGCAGTGCCGGACGAGATGCTCGAGATTCTTGCGTTCACCCTCACGAAAGGGCCCTTGGCAGTCATGAGGCATCGCTTGGACACCTTGACGAAATGGAAAAAGTGGTCTCAAGAACTTCGTGGAGCCGAGGCCTCCTTGCACGCGAGGCTTCACCCAGATGTCGAGAAGATAGTTGCACGCAAAAACTTGACCCTCCTGCGGCGTGTGGCCGAGGATTTACAGTGGCCTGATGCCACGATAATCGACGACATCGAGAATGGCTTTGAGCTCGTGGGTGAGGCCAAGCTTACAGGCATCTTTGAGGTGGACCCGAAACCCTCTTCGATGTCCGTTGACGAGTTGCTTGAGCACGCTAAGTTCTTGAAGCCAGCCCTGTGGGGCAAGGTGTCGGGCGATGCGAGCCACCCGGATGATCAGGAGCTCTGGGATCTCACTTGTGCTGAAGCTGACGAGAAAGGTTGGTTGCATGGACCCTACACGTGGGAGCAACTGCAGAACATGTTTGACTCCAAGTGGATACCTGTGCGCAGATTCTCCATCAGACAAAAGAACAAATTGCGGCCCATCGACGACCTGTCCGAGAATGCCGTCAATCAAGCTTGGGCAGTAATGGAGAGGATCGGTTTGCGTGCGCTTGATGAAATCACTTGGGCATGTATGGCTTTGATGAGGGCCAGCTTGGGGCGACGCGAGGTTTTCTTCCGGAAGTCCGACGGCTCCGTCTTGTCGGGGCCTTTGCATTCGTATTGGCACCAGGACGCTCGCCGCTGCTCGCCGGTCTTGAAGACTACGGATCTGCGCTCAGCTTATAAACAGTTCGCTATACGGCCGGAACACCATCGGATGTGCGTGGTGACCTTGAAGGATCCGGCGGACGGCTCAACAAAGGGGTTCGTCTGCCGCGTTTTGCCGTTCGGGGCCCTGGCCTCGGTCGGTCAGTTCAACAGGTTTTCGAGGCTGTGGCAAAGGATTCTCTGGCAGCTGAAGCTCGCTGCGGCGAGCTACTTCGACGATTTCCCGTCGGTGGAGGTCAGGGCCCTTGCCGAAAACCATGACTCCTCCGTGAAGGCAGCGTTGCGCCTTTTTGGAGTTGACTGGGCGAGCGACAAGGACCTTCCCTTCTCACCGACGGCCGATGTTTTGGGCGTCCGACTGGATGCGACGGATATGGAGGGCGGAGTGCTGAGGGTCAAAAACAAGCCAGAAAGATCCAAGGAAATTGCCTCTTCGATCGATAAGATCCTTGCGGATGGCTGTATTGATCCGAAGCAGATCCCCTCTTTGTTTGGCCGGATACAGTTTTCGGAAAGTCAGTTGATGGGCCGACAGGGGCGCCTGGCTTTGGCTCAGATTCGCTGGCTTTCGAGTGCTCGTCACCGTCATGTTCTGTCTTCCCTGGACGCCACTGTCTTCAGAAGCTTGAGGGAGAGGATGCTTGAGGGCAGGCCGCGCGAGATCCAGGTTCTTCCCATTGGCGGCCAGACTCTTGTTTTCACTGACGGTGCATGCGACAAGCTGGGGGACAAGTTTAGCTGCTCAATCGGAGGTGTCATGTATCGGGTGCTTCCAACTGGTTTTCGCGAGACGAGGGCGTTCGGGTGCTACCTGGACGAATCGGTCGTCGAGCAATGGGCGGGACTGGGCAAGAGACACCTGATAGGTCCTACCGAGCTTTTCGCGGTGGTGGCGGCCAGACATGTCTGGAAAGATTTCCTGAATGATCAGAGGGTCGTCTTTTACGTGGATCACAGTGGTGTTTTGTCTGCGATGATCAAAGGGTCTTCCCGCGATGATCTCTGGAGGAGCATCTTGCTTCACTACGAGGGTGCCGACTCGATGGGGCCAGCGATCTCGTGGTTCGCTCGGGTCCCGAGCAAGTCGAACCCCGGCGATGGGCCTTCGCGGTCCGACTGGAGATTCCCTGTTTTCGGCGAGTACTTCGAAGATCGGATTGTGTGCTTCATAAGCGGCAGAGTTCTCAAAGTCACGGGGCAAAGAGTGCAGGGGTGAAAGATGCCCCATAACTTTTCCACGAGCCCGGAGGGGCTGTTGGCGAAGTGCCAACATGTGTTGGGATCCCGAGGGGGATCCGGAGCATGCACTTCTTTCCCCGAGAGGCTTTGCCAAACCGAAAGAAAAGAACCTGTTGAGCGTAGTTTGTCCGAGTGCTGCCTTTTCTATGAGACTCGTAAGCTCTCTAACAGGCCTCATTTCCACTTTATATATATGCGATTGAAAGACATATTCGAGTGGACTTAAAGAAAGGCCCGCATGATACATGAAGCCACATTGGTTATAGGCCGTTTTTGGGACGCTAAAAATCACAAACTAGTCCCATAAGGCTTTATAACCTTTTTGGTAGGTTTCGAAAGTTTTGAAGAAGTTTTTCGAAACCGCTTCATGTGTCATGAGATTCCATTTGAACTTTTATGAATCTTTGTTGTTCCGCGCATGCTCAAACATAGGGTGGGTGGGCGGGAACCTTCCGTGCAGCAAAGTTTGTACCCACCACTCCCACCCAAACTTTGCGGGGTGAAAGATGCCCCATAACTTTTCCACGAGCCCGGAGGGGCTGTTGGCGAAGTGCCAACATGTGTTGGGATCCCGAGGGGGATCCGGAGCATGCACTTCTTTCCCCGAGAGGCTTTGCCAAACCGAAAGAAAAGAACCTGTTGAGCGTAGTTTGTCCGAGTGCTGCCTTTTCTATGAGACTCGTAAGCTCTCTAACAGGCCTCATTTCGCATCCATCATGCGTGCGTGAATGGGTTTTATTTTCCGCCGAAAGTGTAGACAAAGTTTGTCGAAAAAGGAAAACAGTGTTTTCACTTGTGTGTGAGTGACACTAGACAAGCTTTGCCGTGCAGCTTTCGGCTTGAAGTTGGATCTGTGATCCAAAAAGTTTTTATAGAGTAGCTTGTAGTGCTCCGCAGCAGTGGGGGTCGTCAGCGACGACCTTCCACTCCCTTTTATATAACTGTCAGTGCCAGTTATGGTTGACCAAGCAGCCCGCACTTATGCGGCTGAGTCGCCAGAGGCGCCGTACCCTAGAAGGGACGGTCGGGAAAATCAGTTGGCAGCGCCACAATGCCTGCAACGCGTGCGACAGTGTCGCTCCTGCCTCCGCTTTTTGCAGTGCAATCCAATATTTGTGCTAGAGCAGGCCATGCGTGAAGAAATGGCACAACAGGAGATAAGTTATCTCCTTTGGGCCATTAGCTGCGCCATGCGGGTAGACCCCGCGGTCGTCAGCGACGACCACGAATCCCTCAATCGAGCAAGGGAAGGGGAATCCAAAGTTTGGCCCCCCTTCTACCCTTTTGCGCAGATGCAGGGGGAACAACCGGACACCTCAGGCAGTGCCTATCCGATGCATCGGTATACTGTGTCGCAGCGCGACGTGCCTATGCGGCCAGCGGCCACGCCTGGTTGGCCGTATACCGGCCTCTTTGACTGGCCCCCCAGTGGGGAGGAAGACAATGTCCCCAAGCTCCAGTGGAGACTCAATTGGGTGGATGCCCTAGAGGGCCACGTGGCTGCTAAGGTGGAAGCCAGCGGCTTCCAATGGCACCCAGAGGGTAAGGGCAAAGGCAAGGGCGGTTGGGTCAAGATTCTCCCTGCGGAGAAGAAAAAGAAAAAGACTCACAAAACTGCCAGCGGCAGTACTGACCCCACCGCCTCGTCCAGCACTGCTCTGCCGACAGCGTCGGCATCAGCCTCGGACCCTCCCTTGCCGCCGCCAGCGGCCGCTCCTGCCAAGCCTGTTTCGGCCACAACAGGCAGCCCGCCCGCAGCCGAAGCTGCCGACGTCGCCCCGCCAGCGGCGGAGCCAGCAATTGAAGTTATTGACACTGACAGTGATCAGAACTCGGGAGACTCCGAGGTATCTTTGGCTAGCAGCCAGGCCGCAACGGCAGTGCCGTTCGCGCCGAACGCGAACACTGTGGTCGTGTCCAGACCGCAGCGTCGCAATCGCCAGCGAGGCTGGCAGTTTCAGCCTGGGGAGGACCCCCAAAATAACGATTGGCGTAACCTCGGGTCAGCGACCGACAACAGGTACCCCGGCCTGCGTGCGCTAGTAGCGCACGCCAAAAGGGTCTCGCCGCACCTGCACGTCACAGACGTGCACGAATGGCCCTACTGGGCAGCCCCCAACTCAGAGAGATGGGAGAAATACCCGGAGAGGCGCGGCGACCTCATGTGTTGCATGCCTTGCGCGCAGCAGGGCTGCATCTCCCAGGGCATGGCGATTTGTGGGCGGCACTGCTCAGTGGGCAGGAGCCCCCACAATCATCACGAATGCGACAACTGCTATCGCAGCGGCCGGGGTCAGCGACCCCGAAACCGCGGCGTCAGGGGCGGCCGCCGTTAGGCATTGAGTGCAGCGCGTAGCTGCTGGCCTCTCAGCGAGTCGCCCCCCGTCGGTGCAGCGCACCTCTTTTTGGTTCACCGCCGACAGCTCGGCAGCCTCTGCAGGGCGGGCGTCTCCGAGGTACTTGGAACCTCGCCCACAGCGGCGGGCCGACGGCATGCTTTGAATGGCGGCAAAAGATCGCCGCTAGTCTTCTTCAGTCGTGTGTCACGCGAGCCTGGTAGGTCTCCTCAGCTGTGTCAGCTTCTTAAACCGTGTCGGTTTTCAAGCAGCGCTTTCGTACCGCAGCCTTTTCAGCTTAGTAAGTCGCCCCCCGTGCCCAAAACAACCCCGCTTTCAGCGGAAGCCTCTGTCTGCCATCAGCGATGGCGAACCCGACAAATGAGCAGATGCTGCAGGCGCTCAGCGCAGTGCCGGAGGCCCAGAGGGCCGCCCTCTACGAAGCCGCCGTCTCCCTATCAGAGATAGGGGACGTGGTGGTGAATGCGGCAGAGGCAGCGGAACTCGCTGGTTGGACGAAGCCCGCCAGTGGCGGCACAGAGGCCAATGCAGTCGCGCTTCAGCGACTCTTGCTCGGATACGAGCCCCCAGTGGTGCCGGCAAACACCGAGCCACCAGTGGCGGCACGTGGTGTCTCTTCCGACGGCCACCGCAGCGCGGTGGCCAGTTTGCCTCTGACGACGGCTGCAGCGCAGGCCTCGCAACAACGCTCCCCGACCAGTCCCGCTGAGGAAGCGGGGTCTGGCATCAAAGAAGAACCGCTTCCAGCGGAAGCTCCCTCGGCAGCGCCGGAGGATATGGACGTGGAGGAGCGCAGCGGGCGGCGGGATGAAACCGAGGATGACCGAGGCTCCCGCTCGGAGGAGTCGGAGTCAGAGAGCGACTCCCCGCCGCCGCCAACGCAACCGCATCCTCCCCTTGAGGGTAAGGTGGCTCGCAAGTCCTCGAGCCCGGCAGTGCCGGTAGCCGAGAGGAACCAGGCGCCAGCGGCGCCTGCGAAGGCCGCCGCCCCACGCCACCTCAAGCGGCCCCCCCCACCGCCAGTGGCACGTCGTGGGGAGAGCTCTCGCCCGCGTCCCTGCCAGCAGGCCCCGCGCAACAACCCTGCTGGCGTCGCTGGGACCCGGGCCAGCGGCCCGGCAACAGACGACCACCCTGATCGAGACGATCAGGAAGAGCGGCCGCCAGCGGCGGAGCTTCAGCGAGTCTTCGCATGTTCAGTCTGCGACAACGAGCAGATGAACATCTGGAACGACCCGTCGTCGGAGTTCGTGTGCAGTGCATGCGGCGAGCATCACGCTTTCAGGGCAGCAGTGCATGCCTATGATCAGCCCAGCGCCAGTGGCGCGGTGGTTTACCAACGATCGTCGCAGCAAGGCCTGGCAGTGTCCAGAGTGCGGCGTGATGCATTGCACACGCTGCGCCAAGCACTACTCTTGCCCAGGCACTGTCCCGCGGACAGACGGCAAGCTCGAGTACAAGGGCGACCGCCGCCCTACTAGGGGGCCGCCCGAGTCCCTTCGGTTGACCTTGCAGCGCGAGGCAGCCGAAGCCCGTGAGCGCGAGCACCGCGAACGGGAGGCCCGCCGCAGAGACGGCAAGGGCAAGGGCAAAGGCAAGGACCAGAGGTCCCGCCGTGACGACGAGGACCGGGACCAGTGGTCCCGTGGTCGCTGGTCTTGGGACCACGACCGGCGCTGGAACTACCGTGACTGGTAGAGACGCCAGCGGCGTGCACCAGTGCCCCCGAACAGTGTTCGGACACAGTTTTGAAGGGCCAGTGGCCCTTTCGTCTGCGCCCGTTTCACACAGGTGCAGAGCACAGTAGTGCCGGCACAGTCCGGCCACAGGAGCCTCCGCTGCCCACCGGCCTGTCTGCGGATCGCAGAAGGCAGGTGCAGCGCACCTTCACAAGCGGGCTCAGCCCAGACACTCGCACCGCGAGGTCGGAAAAAAGAACACCGCAGGTTGCGTGTGCACACAGACCTTGTAGGGCTGCAGTTTCTTTTGCCTAGTAGGTTTCAACGCAGTTTCCCAGACCTGGTAGGTCCTCTGGAGGTAGCACTAGGTGCAGTGCCACCAGCGTGGCCGCGAGTCCTCCAGTGCGTGATTGCCGCAGCCTTTTAAGCCTCACTTCCTTCCCAGCTCTCTCTCCCTCCTCTCCTCCCTCAGGACTGCCCGGGGAGGGTGCGGGTCGCAGCGCGTCGCTTGAGTTGAGCTTTCCAGAGTGAGTGCGCTTGTGTTCGTGTGCTGGTAGCCCTTTCCTGCAAGCCGCCTGGACAACAGCCGTTGGCTTGAGCAGTGCTCCTCTTCCTTGTGTCAAGGATGCTGCCCAGGGGCAGCGCCCCGGAGGGCGACTTCAACGACCAGGTTAGTAACCTCTGGTCGTCAATACCACGCAGAGCCGGTGCTCGTCAGCCGTGGGAATCAGCCTCATGGTTTGCGCACAATGCGAGCTGGCCCTGGGAGCTGTCAGTGACTCGCCCCGCTTCTGTGGGTCCCGTGCCAGTGCTGCACGAGTCCAGCCTGTTGCTCAAGCGGAAAGCTTCCGCTACCACCCAGCCGCTAGTAATAGTAGCGGAAGACACGGCCTTCGCACTTAAGGTCTGCTCCCGTCGTACAGCGTACGAAGGCGACCGCC